TGAGGGCCACGCCCTTGTCCGCGCTGCTCCTTTTGGCCTCCTTCTGGCACTTACCCCGGCGGCACAGCTTGTGCTTAATGACCTACGGCGGAGGCGTGGCGGGTGGGCGGGAGCCCCGCCCCTCCCGGGGCCCCGCCCCTGCAGCCCCGCCCCCGCGTACCTCGTAGGCGTAGTCGAAGAGCTCGAGCACCGTGAGGATGCTGGCCCCGATGAACAGCCCCATCTGGCCCCCGATGTCACCTGCGGGGGCGGGGCGGGGGGCGGGGAGGTCAATGGAGTCAAGACACCGTGGGGACTGGGGCCGGCAAGTCGTATTCGCGAAGGGACTGGCCTCCTTCGTACCGAAGGATCATCAAGCCAGATGCTGGTGGAATCTAATTTTATTTTCCACTCTTTTCTGCATTTGTCTACTTTTCTAAAATGAACAGGCATTTTTCAGGAAAAATAATTGTTCACGAAATACCCCAACCCTCTTAGTCTCTGAGTCAATTTCAGGAGCATGAAAAACAGTCCCCACCTCCACCCCCCACACCACCCTCACGTCCACGGGCCTGTCTTTTCAACTTTGCGTTAAAGGAAGTCTCAGTCTCCTTCCCCCGTCGCACACCAAGACATCAGGGTTTGAGGAAAGGCCCCTGGGGGTGGGGAGCCCTCATGGGACAGAGGTGAGCACCCTGCTTTGAGTGGTAGGGAGCCACATCATGCCCACGGCATGGGGACGGGACAGGTGCCATCAGCAGCTCACCCAGGAGACCCGCGATCTCATAGGCCTTCTTCTGTTCAATGGTCTCATAGTTGAGGACTTCAAAGAAAATGTCCAGCACCAGGATGTTCTCCCTGCACAGGGGTTGGGGGAGGAGACCTGGGTTCAAGTCATATCTCTGCCTCTTCCTAGCTGGGTGACCTCAGCAAGCCAGCCTCTCTGAATCCGTTTATGTTTCCATAAAATTGGGTGCTGCTGGAGATACCTGCCTTTTAGGATTAAATGAGATGGCATATCTGGAGGAAGGAAAATGCTCTGCAAACTGACAAGTATGAGGTAATCCCAGTTACAGCAATGAAGATGAAGAAAAGGGAGGAGAAAAGGATTTCCCCTGCATAGTCCGGCTCGATGCTCCCTCCATACCCACCCCAGACTCTCTGATTGCCTCTTGGACCTTCCCCGTGTTATCTCAACTTCCTCCTGCCCACCAGCCCCCCATCAAAACCCGCTCATACATTTCCCAGTCCCAGCCTAAGGGCCCTGCTCTGCACACCAGAGCCCTTACCCTATGTACTGCTCAGATTTGTTGAACTTCTTGGCCAGGTACTTGGCTGAGGCTTTGCTGGGGATCTTGACCATGGACAGCTCCTTGCCGTAGCGGGTCAGGTTGCAGGGCATTTCACACACGCAGTACTCCTGGTCCTTCTCCACCAGGAAGTCTGCACCCAGCCAGGTGAGAGGTGCCAGTTGAGTGGTACTTCCCACCATGCACATCCTGGCCCTGCCCAGGAGGACCCTGGACCCCCTTCTATTTTCCCGTCCTGTCCTTCACCTCAGCCCTGTGCCCATCCCTTTCTAATCCTCACCAAGACTCCCTATG